TCTAGGAACGGTCTAGGAACGGCCTCGGCCAGGCATCGCGCCCGCCTGCGCGAGGATCATCAGCGGGTAATCTCGGGTAATCTCGGGTAATCTCGAGTAATCCCGCCTGCGCGACCATCATCAGCGCGGCGGCGGCGAGGGCGAGGGCGGCGCGGCGCGGCGGCGTGGCGGCGGGGCCGAGCTCGAGGGCGGCGCCGAGGCCGAGCAGCTGCAGCGCCGACCGGAGCCGGATCCAACGCCCCGCCGGAATCAGCACGGCCGGCAGGGAGAGCCTGTGTCGCGCATACGCCCGCAGATGAGGGCGGGGAGACGGCACTGTGCAGGGCACTCGGAGCAGCGCGTGAGCACGAGGGGGGTACGAGTGCAGTGAGGACAGCGGAATACGGCCGCGTGCAGCGGAGTGCAGCGGAGTGCGTGTCCTCTCGAGCGCTAGTCGGGATTCAAGAGTCTGTGCTCCGGTCCTAGCAAGGAGAGCCTGTGTCACCAGAGTCGGGGGAGGAGAGGGAGGAGGTGGGAGCGCAGCCACCACAGCTCAGGTCAGGTGGAGGACAGTGCCGGACTTTGCAATCTAGAGGTGTGTGTTGGTGCAGCCGCCGAGGGCGGTGGCGGCGAGGGCGGTGGCGGCGAGGGCGGTGGCGGCGAGGGCGGTGGCGGCGAGGGCGGTGGCGGCGAGGGCGGTGGCGGCGAAGGCGGTGGCGGCGAAGGCGGTGGCGGCGAGGGTGGTGGCGGCGAGGGTGGTGGCGGCGAGGGCGGTGGCGGCGAAGGCGGTGGCGGCGAGGGCGGTGGCGGCGAGGGCGGTGGCGGCGAGGGCGGTGGCGGCGAGGGCGGTGGCGGCGAGGGCGGTGGCGGCGAGGGCGGTGGCGGCGAGGGCGGTGGCGGCGAGGGCGGTGGCGGCGAGGGCGGTGGCGGCGAGGGCGGTGGCGGCGAGGGCGGTGGCGGCGAGGGCGGTGGCGGCGAGGGCGGTGGCGGCGAGGGCGGTGGCGGCGAGGGCGGTGGCGGCGAGGGCGGTGGCGGCGAGGGCGGTGGCGGCGAGGGCGGTGGCGGCGAGGGCGGTGGCGGCGAGGGCGGTGGCGGCGAGGGCGGTGGCGGCGAGGGTGGTGGCGGCGAGGGCGGTGGCGGCGAGGGCGGTGGCGGCGAGGGCGGTGGCGGCGAGGGCGGTGGCGGCGAGGGCGGTGGCGGCGAGGGCGGTGGTGGCGAGGGCGGTGGCGGCGAGGGCGGTGGCGGCGAGGGCGGTGGCGGCGAGGGCGGTGGCGGCGAGGGCGGTGGCAGCGAGGGCGGTGGCGGCGAGGGCGGTGGCGGCGAGGGTGGAGGCGGCGAGGGTGGAGGTGAGGGCGGTGGCGGCGAGGGTGGAGGTGAGGGCGGCGGTGGTGAGAGCGGAGAAGGAGAGGGTGGAGGCGGCGAGGGCGGTGGCGGCGAGGGTGGAGGTGAGGGGGGCGGTGGTGAGAGCGGAGAAGGAGAGGGTGGTGGCGGCGAGGGCGGCGCGGCGGTGACGACGGTGGCGGGGGCGAGGGAAGGCAGCGCCGCGGCCGTGTGCTCAGGCCCTCGCGAGAGTACATTCGGTGCGAGTGGCAGCGGGACGCAGTGGAGAGCAGCGGGAGATGCAGCCGAGGAGTCGTGCCTCCCTCTCGAGTGCTGGCCGGCGCATGGCCGGGTCTGTCTCAAGCTTCTAGGCGGAATACACTAGGCGGCCTCCGGTGGTGCGCCGAAGTGTGTGTGCTAGAGTGCGCCAGTCCACGCCCTCGTCGTGCCAGTGCGCTGTGAGAGAGAGGGTTGGCTTCTAAGAGTCTCTAGGCTGCGCGCGCCAGGCGCAGGCGACGCACTGCAGCGCGCCAAAGAGCAGCGCGAGGGCAGCGCCCCCGCAGAAGGCGGCGGCGCGGCAGAGAGCGGCAGCGAGCGCGCGTGCGAGGGACGCGTCCTCGCGGCTTGTCTCGTCCACCGCGGCCGCATCGCCCTCCTCCTCGACGCCGCCCTCGCCTGCGGCCCCCGGCGCGAGCGAGAGGCGCAGCGCTTGCGCGCGGAGAGGCAGCGAGATGCCGTCGTAGAGCCAGCCCAGGCCAAGGTAGTTGAGGGTGAGGCAGGCGCGGAGCGCCGCGCGCGGCCGGCCGAGGTACACGTGGTGGAGGCCTGCCGCCCGCGGCCACCGTGAGAGGCGTTCTGTGTGTTCTTTCGCCGAGGAGAGGAGCGGAGAGGGTGCGGAGTGCGCACCGAGGAGGCCGAAGAAGAACCACAGCGTGTACGCCTTGAGAGCGAGGAGGGCACCACCCGCCGTATCCATAACACCGCCCTTCGTCCACCAGGAGCGCACGGTTGCCGAAATGGCTCCGACATTTGCGGCGGCCGAGCTGCCCGATAGTCGGAGTGCGCTTGTGAGGCCGGAATTTATGACCTTTGCGACGTGTGCTGCGAGGCGCAGGCCGGCAAAGCTGTGAGTGCTGCTGGGCTGTCGACGCGTCTTGATCGATGGAGGAGGAACACGGCTGACGGAGAGATGAAGCTGCTCTCGGGAGTGTGCAGCAGAGGGGGTTCGGACGAACGCACCCATCTCCGCGAGAGCGCGCCCGTCGACCGCGAGCAGCGTGGGCTGTCTCCGCACGCCGCGCCCTGGGGATTGGTCCGGTGCGCCGTCGGCAAGCAGAGCGACAAGTAGCAGCGCCCGCAGCGCCACCCTCATTGGTTCAGCCAGAATTTCAAGTATGGTCCGACACGCCGGCTGGCGGCGCCCGCTCCAAGCCGCGAAATCTGAGGTCGCCCCGCCCGCCTGCGCCCCCGCGACGGCCCCGCAGCGGCCGGGCCGGCTGCCTTGGTGGGCGGGGCACCTCCCGCTGCCGCGTCGCGGCCGCGGACGCGCTCGGAAGCACACCGCGGGCCTCTGCCGCGCGCCTCGAAAGCGTCGCCGCTCTCGACGCACGGAAGAGCCGGTCCCATGCGTCGGTCCGAGCGTCACGCACCCCCGTGCTCGGTCGCAGGCACCTACTCGACGGTCGACGAGCTCGCCGGCATGTCGCCCGCGCGATACGCCACTCCTGATCCCGATGACGACGGCTACGACGAGGACGTGCCCGCCGACCCCCCACCCCCTGCCGCCGACGACGATGCCGCGCCGGCCGACGAGCCTGTGGTCGGCGACGCCGACGGCGGCGGCGGCGGCAGCATGGGCAAGGCGCGGCGCTGGGCCAAGGTCTTGCCCGACCCATCGTGCTGCCCCGCGCTCCCGCTGCTTCTGCTCGCGCTCATCGGCACGGTCGCCTCCGTGTTTGTTCTCGCGTCCGTTCGCGGCGCTGCTGCAGTGTGGACCAGCCACTCCATTGACGCTGCTGCTGGCGCCTCGACCCGAGGCGCAGTCAAGGACAGGAGCAGCGGCGAGAGGCAGCGAAGCAGTGGCACGGACGCAGCGAGCGCGCAGAGGCAGAGCACGAGTAGTCGAGCAGGAGAGGCGGCCGCACGTGCGAGCACGAGCACTGGTGTGCGGGACCACGTTGGTCGCATGTCGAGCTCACCTCGCCTCGGGCCTTCGGCTCGGACACAGTTTTGTAGAGAAACGCGAAAAACGGGCCGGGTACCAAGTACCCCTTCAACCCCTGTCCCATTCGCCTCTCTGATATGCCAGGACAAGACGGGTACGGAGCCCGCACTCGAAGGGGCTACTAGCCTCTCTCGACTGAGGCTTTTCTTTTGACTACGCCGCCCTCCCCCCCCCACCACACACACACGTACACGTAGAGCTAACAGCTAAGAGCCTGGCGTCGGTGCTAAGCTGTGGCTCACGCGACACTGCCCCCGGACGTGTGAGGCGCAAGCGGATGTTGAGGGCGATGTTTGCAACCTAACGGAGGCGAGTGCAGCGGTGCGCTGTGCCGGCGCCGGTGCTGATGTGACTACTCCAAGAGACCGTGTCGATTGAAGACTACTCATGACAGAGTGAGAGAGTGTATGTGCGGGTGGACGTGGGCGAGAGGCGTGATGTGGGATGGCGCACCGGTCGCGGTGGTGCGGATGAGTGAGCCGCCGCGCAGCCGTGAGGTGCTCGATGAGTGAGCCGCCGGGACAGAGCCGCACCTGCGCAGGCAGCAAAGGTGGGCGGCGTGAGCGCGCGCGGTGCCGCGCTCCACGGTGTGCGAGAGTGCCGGGCCGGGCGTGCCCCCATCAGCGATGGAAGCTCCAAGCCGGCACAGAAGCTCCGACACGGGCGTCTGCTGGTTGCGCGTGTCGACGAGCGGGCCCGAGCGAGGCCGCAGAGGAGGAAGAACGTCGGTCGTGCGAGCGCTGAGGACAAACGGACGGCTGAGTGAGGGACGGCAGTCATACCGGCAATAGTCGGTGTGCGGCGGCGGTCGCTCGGGGGCGGAGGCCGGCGGCAGGGAGAGAATCGGGCGAGAGCACGGAGCACGCCTGCCGTCGAGTGAGAGCAGACATCTACAGAGAGCACGTGCGGCCGCGCCGGGCCACCGAGAGGCGCACCTGGCGCAACTCGAGCGTAAGTGACCGTGGCGGCAGCCGCTCAGCGCTCGAGGCGACCATCCGGCCGCCGGGCGTGCCTCTGGCGCCGACTCGGCGCCGTCGGCGACCCCGCGCGGGCCAGAGTCATGTCGAGCCGGGGCTGAGCCGGCGGTGGCGGACGCTTGGATGCACGCTCCGGGGGGCTGCCGGGTCGGATCGGCCTTTCGGGCGCCGCCGCAGCGCCGCGGAGGCACTGTTCTGGTGAGAACACGCGCCACTGAGGCCGACTGAAGTTGCACGCCCAGGCCAGCCGGCTGGTCGGTCCAATTGTAGCCTCCCCTTCCGCACTCTTCACACAGGGGCTCTCACAGCAGACTGGTTCACGGGGCCGACTACAGTGTACAGCGGGGAGGAGTGAATTGTAGCCTAAATCTGCCTGGTTGGGGGGGTTGAGGAGATGACGATCCCGGCGTGAGCACGACTAACTGTGACGGATCCGCTCCTGACAGTCGCACGCGCCGCACTGCGGCGCGTGCGACTGTCTTTGTTTGAAGTTAAAAGTCGAATCAGAGCGGCGTCGGCGTTAAGAACCGTTTTCCTCCCACGGACCGCTCGTCCGGCACCGCTCCGGGACGCACGCCGGCGAAGCACCATCAAGCTGCTGTACGGCCCCGGCATCGCCTTCCCAGGCTTAGCTAGACTGAGAGATATTGTGCATACGGTCTGTCTCTACAATATATACACTGACACTGAACCTCCCAGAGCTCGTCCCGGTCCGCCACGGCCATCCTTGGCCTCCGGCGGGCCCCCGGCCGCGGCGCGGTGCGGCGGCGTCACAAATCCGACCACAGAGCACCGGGACGCGGTCGGGCGATCTGAGGCCCAAGTAGGCGTATGCATTGCCCATCCAGGGCTATCACCTGGACCTATCAACAGGCGCCTGCGGCGCCGTGCTCAGGAGCTGCTGCTCCAACCTGTTCACACTTTCGTACGGTACAGTAAAGTGGAAGGGGGGGTAGGGGAGAAGTACTCTTGAGGGAAACATTGGACCGTCAGGCCCCGGGGAGGGGGACTGGCCAGCCCGACTAACACAACCTTCAGGAACACCATTTTGCGGTCCTGAGCGGCCGTCTTGGAGCAGAAGCTTCCCTGCCTCCTTAGCCATGTTGCGGTGCCCTCGCGCCATCTGGTCCACGCACTGCTCGCAAGTAAAGCGTCTTCACAGGTCGGCAGATACGCCTCACCTTCAAAAGGGTGGCTGCCTACCCCAAAGCCCAGCCCGGGGCGTCGATTTCTCTTGACGATTTCACTTTAAAACGCTGGTGCAGATGGGGTTTTCTCTATAGAAGTCGGAGCCTTGCGTCCAAGGAGAGGCAGCGTGCGGCTCCGTGGACTCGGCCATCACCCGCGGGTGAGAGGGCGAGAGGAAGCACTCCCGCCCTCTGAGGCGGCCGTCCGAGTCGGAGAGGCAAACACACAACCATCCTCGCGGGCGTGGGCGGCCTTATGGGCCCGCTATGCTAACCCTAAGTCGGCCCTTCCTCGGGTCGGCTTCGGAGGCCCCGCAGCCCTAGCCGGAGCTAAGGGCCCCGGCTTTTTCGGCGCTAACCCTAGGGGAAATCGCTCCGGAAGAGGATTCCCGGCACCATCGGGCGGCGCCACACGGATGGAGGGAGTCGGGTTTGCCATCGGCGGGCCGTGAGGGCGCTGAGAACTCAAGGCTGAGTTTTGGCTCCACTTTCGATGTGGCGGAGTATACCTTGTGTTTCGACTGCACTCCGCGCTGCGAGCCTGTCGTGTCCCTTGTCAGGAGCAGGAGAGCCCCACCTGTGCCCCTGACCGTCCTTCCAAAAGCCTGCTCGTGCAGGTGGGGACCCTGTGATCCTCCCCCATCCCTCGTTTGGCTTCGCTGTTTTCTTTCTTTCAATCAGTGGTACGCGCGGCGCGGGCTGCAGGTGGGAGACTTGCTCTATGACGCGCAGGCGCGGCGCGGCTGAGGAGGAGGGCGGCAGCAGAAGGCGGGGGCGGAAGGCGGCGGAGGAGGCGACGGAGAGAAGGCCGTGGTTTAGGAGTAGGGGGGGCGGGGGATGTGGGATGGACACACGCAATTCGAGGCCTTTCGCTTTCCTCCTGCATGCGTGAGTCTCGAGTCCGAGGGAGACGCTGAGAGAGAGTTGACGCGGCTGGAGAGACGCGTGTGCCGGCTGCCGCGTGTGTGCGCGCTCTCTTTCTCTCCTGCTGTGAGACGCACGGACGCACCGTGCCATGTGTCGCGACACGCATGTGAGGCATGCTGATGAGTGATGACTTGATGTCATCACTAGCCGAGCCGACGCGTTGCGCGTCGCACGCGACGCCGCTGGCGCCGAGCGAGCGCTTGGCCAAGCCTCGCAGCCGCTGCAGGTCAAGGGTGCCGTCGCGGGCGTCTCCGAGCAGCTTGGCGAGCTCCTCGTCCGACACGGTGAAGTCCGCGCCAAGCGGGAATTGGCTCGTAATGGCCTCCTCGATCTCCAGTCGGAAGTCGCGGCGCGCCTGGTGGATGTACGAGGGGATCGCTATCGAGATAGCTGCAGAACTGCCAGAGGTGCTCACCCAGGTTTCGGAAGTCCGCCTTGATGCGGTCAGTTCCCCCCCAGGTTTGACCGCGCAGCTCGCAAGACTCGTCGAGCACTCGCAGCCTTTCTGCGCCTCCGACTCTGGTCTGCAAGCTATGCGGGAAGAGCAGTTTATCCGCAATATATCGACGAGTTCGAGAGAGCCACAGGCTTTCGCTCGGGAGGGAATGAGTGCATCGCGAAGGACTTCAGGTTACACCTGAAAATCTGACGGTTCTCGCTCCCCATCGAGCTCTTCTCTTGCCGCACGGCTCTTCTGTGTGCCGGCACAGAGCTCCGTGCAAGCCTTCCAGCGTGATAGGAACGAGTGTATCGCTTCGACGGATCGACCGTGCTTGTTATCAAGACCGATGTGACGCACAAAGTGACACATCAGACCACACACATTCTCCCACCCGCCGGGACGCAAAACGCTCTCGACGAGAGCCAGAAGAAGGCGTCCACACAGCAAGCCGCTCGGTCGATCACGTTGCTCGCTCGATGCCGGCGAGCGCATGGCGCACGCCTTGGACGGTGGCGAAGCCAAAAACACCGATGGTGGCCGTCCGCTGGCGTGAGCGGCGGCGGTCGAGACCTCACCCTTCGCGCCGACGACCCAACCTCACGCGGAACAACCCAACCCGACCCTCAACCAACCCAACCCAACAACCCAACCCAAAAAGCACGATCGATTCTGCACGGAGCTAAGTGCCTCGCCGTCCTCGCCGGAGTCGCTTAGGCGGCTCCAGTGGTGTACCTGTGTTAGTGCCAGTGCGCGCCAGTCCCGTGCCCAAGTCGAAGGATTGTGACTTTGTGAGCAGCACTCCTCGCAATCGTAGCATCTCTGTACGATTGCTAGCACCTACGCTGCCAATCCTACATCTTCTAGGACTAAGATCACCGCTCCCAAGGTTGTGTTGCATGTCACTGTCATCACTGTGCGATTTCGGGGCCCGGGGTTGTGCGCCGGGGTTGGTTGTGCGTTTACGTGAACAAGTCTGAGCTCACTAGCTAGAGCTCACACTAGAGGCCGTCATCGCATTCGCCTTCCTGGGACCCAGCGCTGACTTCTGACTGTCGTTGCTGTCTCTCCCCCTTCTCGACTGTCTGTGCTTGTGCGTCTTGGGGGCGGAGTTGTGCGTTTATGTGAACAAGTCACCCGGCCTCCGGCCCGAGCGGCTCGGTCTACGGAGAGACAAGTCACCGCTCAGTGCTTGTCCGCCGGGGGCCCAGAGCCCGTGTATTTACATGAGCGCGCTCACCGAGGCCGAGGCCGATCGGGCCCTCTTCTATTACAGCTCTTACCTCATGGCTCTCGGGCATCAGGCCGGGCTGCGCCAGCGCGCGTGCCTGACTGCGGCGCTGATCTTTCGCCGCTTCTACAGCTCGCGCAGCTTGGAGGCTCACGACCCTCTCCTGCTGGCGCCGACCGCTCTGCTGGTCGGGTCAAAGGTGGAGGAGTGCCAGGCGGCCGCTTCTGCGTTAGAACGCGCCATGCCGAAGCTGAGGAAGGACCTCGGCGACGAGACCAATCCGTACAGCGCTCAGGACATGGAGGCGTGCGAGCAGGTCCTCTTCGAGGCGGTGATGTTTGAACCCGAGGCGCCCGTGTCGTGCGACCCGCACGCTGCGATCGCGCGCCACCTCGCGCTCGCCATGGGCGAGGGCGACGGCGCTGCCGGTGGCAGCTGCGAGGGCAGCGCAAACGTCGAGCTCACCGCGACAGCGTGCTACCTTGCCAACGACATCTGCAAGACGGCATTGCCGCTCAGCGTCGCCGACGACGCCATTGGGCTGGCGTGCGTCGCGCTTGCCTGTCGAATGCTCCGTCGGCCGCTGCCGCCGCCGCTCGAGTGCCCCGGCGCCCTTCTCGAGCAGGTGAACGACATGTTGGCACCCCCCCGCTCACCTCTGCACTCTGTCCCTCGAGCTCCATCCCCTGAGCTCTCGTCCTGCTCTCGCCCCCCCTGCCCGCCGGCCAGGTGGCGGGCGCGTTCACGCAGGTGTACCGTGCGGTGGCGGACGAGTCTGGGCTGCAGTTCGGGAAGTCGTGCCTCGGTCTGCACCAGCGAGTCGGCGCCAGCCACCGGGCCGCGCGGACGCGCGCGCGCCCTGCTGGCCAGCGCGCGAGGGCGCGATGATGTCAGTTTTGTCGGCTGGCTGGCTGGCCATTCCAGGTGGGTGAATTGTTTGGTCGCGTCCGTGCGGGTGGGCCGGGCGCGTGGGCTGCCGCCACACGCGCACGAACGGTGCATGTGCTGGCCGTGGCGCGCTGTCGTCTCAAGTTTCCCGTGCCGGAGTGCACCGTTTCTACACAGAAGTGTACATTGCACACGGCGCGTGCTACGCTGACACGTGACACACCAACATGCGCCGAGTCGCGAGTGGTACACATGTCATGCGCGTGTGCACGGCCCTCGGGCTAGGGTGGCTACTAGGGTTGTCAAACGTTAATTTGGGGCCTAACAGAGTTGCGCTATTGTTGGCTGAAATCCTCAACGTTGTTCATGTCGCAGAAGGTGGTGGAGAATGACCTCCAGACTGACCCGGAGAATCACCTCCACCAGCCCCACCTCAACACCCCTCTATTATCACTCTCTCCCCCCCCACAGTGATGAATAGTCTACCTATATCCCTATATTCCCACACCCCGTGTGGTGGCACGTCTTGCCACTTAGATCACCAACATCAGCACTTTGGGCGCCGAATAGGCGCCCAAATATTGGCTCGTAATAGTCTCCCGACTGCTTCTCGTGGGGCCGCCGCGCCGCGAGACAGTCGACCTCTCTACTGTTGTGACACCACAAACTCGGTGCAACTGGCGCCTTTCCCCCCACCGGTGTGACACCACACCTTCGTACTTTGAATACCTTCTACAAACATGTCAGCCTCGGCTTGAGGATGGCTTTACAACCTCACCAGCGGTCAGCAATACCGCAGAGCCGTGCACGCGGCTCACCACTCACACTTGCTGGGCACCGATCTTCGGGTTCAGATGACCATCCCTCTGCAGAAGGGGGACGAGGGACGCCTCACGAGCCTACGGAGGGCCTCGACCCGTCTTCTTGCTGGTCAGACCACTCCAATCCCCACGACACCACGTTGGGCAGGCTTGGTGGCAACACCGAGCCCAAGGGCGGCATCGATGCACTAACGACTGGAGATATATCGAGATTGGGCGTCTCCAAGAACCTTATGACGCGAAAGGGTTAATGTTGCTGGCGCAAAATATTTTTCAACCCCTCGCACTCTCGCACAACGAGCACAGTGCGCGCCCAGTGTTGTGCAAAAAAAGAACATAGCGAGAAAAAGAAGCGGTTTAAAAACAAGAACCGAAAGAACAAGGAAAAGAATTCAAGAACGGCGCAAAATAAAGAGCTAGATTGCAGTCGGCAACCGCACGCCCAGGGCCTTGGAGCGAGAAGAAGAGCAGCAGAAAGAAAGAAAGAAAGAACACAGACAACCCCAGGGAGGGGTGGGAGGACGGCACGCCGCCACCACAGGGATTTTAAAGAGAAAAGAATTAGCTGGTCCAGACCCAGCTCGAGAGAGACAACTTGACCGACGTGACACAAGTGCGGCTTGCGACATGCGCGTGTTCTTCCGCGCTCTCACCAGCCGCCGCGTGCTGCAGCGCAACGCGGCCGACTTTGCGCACATCCTGAGCCAGCGCACCGTCGCCGCATCGGCGTATGCAGGGCTGCTGCTGGCCAACCGCAGCAGCCCGTTGCGTGGCGCGGTGTTGCAGACGCTTGCCCGGTGCTGCGATGAGGGACGGCATCCACAGGCTGCCTTCTCCGATGCGGAGCCAGGCAAGTGTGCCGACGGAAGCTGGCGCTCGCAGAGCAACGCCGAGTACGACTGGATGCGAGACGGCCTGCGAGTGGAGTGCAAGAGCGCGCAGCTGTCGTGGGACAAGGACAATCGGCGCTGGATGCTGAGCTTCAATAATGTCAAGTTGCCGCACGAGGGCGCCGCCGCGGCCTTTAACGAGCTGCAGCTGGCTGCATACACGCCGCGGGGAGTGTACATCTACCGGCACGACCTGAAGCTCGGCGTGAGCACGAGTGGCAAGGCGACCGAGGTGACGGGGCATCAGATCGCGATCGTCGGCCCTCGCGGCAAGGAGTGCTGGGAGGAGGCGCTCGATGCGATCCTGGCCAAGCTCGACGCGAGCGGCTGCGAGCGCCTCGAGTTTGTCTCCACGCATGACTCGCGGCTTGAGGCCGCCTGCGATGCCCATCCGCCCACCCGCACAGAAGCAGCCTTTCAGGGCGTGCTGCTGGCCGCCAGCAAAGCGCGCGGCGGCCACCTGGAGCAGCTGGCGCGCGAGGTGGACGCAATTCGGCACCCACGTGCAGTCTTTGCTGACGCAGAGCCAGGCAAGTGTGCCGACGGAAGCTGGCGCTCGCAGAGCAACGCCGAGTACGACTGGATGCGAGACGGCCTGCGAGTGGAGTGCAAGAGCGCGCAGCTGTCGATGAAGGACAAGCGGCGCTGGATGCTGTGCTTCTCCGATGCGGAGCCAGGCAAGTGTGCCGACGGAAGCTGGCGCTCGCAGAGCAACGCCGAGTACGACTGGATGCGAGACGGCCTGCGAGTGGAGTGCAAGAGCGCGCAGCTGTCGTGGAACAAGGACAATCGGCGCTGGAGGCTGAGCTTCAATAATGTCAAGTTGCCGCACGAGGGCGCCGCCGCGGCCTTTGACGAGCTGCAGCTGGCTGCATACACGCCGCGGGGAGTGTACATCTACCAGCACGACCTGAAGCTCGGCGTGAGCACGAGTGGCAAGGCGACCGAGGTGACGGGGCATCAGATCGCGATCGTCGGCCCTCGCGGCAAGGAGTGCTGGGAGGAGGCGCTCGATGCGATCCTGGCCAAGCTCGACGCGAGCGGCTGCAAGCGGCTCGCCGAAATTGATTTCTGTGATGCGTGACATCGTGGGTTGTTCGGTTGTACAAGCCCGTAAGCACTCTTTTCTCCCAGTAAAGCTAAAAGTACTTCCTCGTGTCGCCGCCACCCTCGCCTCACCCTCCCGCCGCCTAGCCGCTCGCTCGCCGCTCGCTCGCCCGCTCGCGCTCGACCTCGCCTCACCCTCCCACCGCCTAGCCGCTCGCTCGCCGCTCGCTCGCACGCGCGCTCGACCTTCTACCTCCTCGTGATCCGCCTGCCGGCCACCCTCGCCTCACCCCCCCGCCGCCTTCCCTAGCCGCTCGCACTCCGTTCGCCCGCCCGATCGCGCCAGACCTTCTACTTCCTCGTGATCCACCGCCGCCACCCTCGCCTCACCCTCCCGCCGCCTAGCCGCTCGCTCGCCGCTCGCTCGCCCGCTCGCGCTCGACCTCGCCTCACCCTCCCACCGCCTAGCCGCTCGCTCGCCGCTCGCTCGCACGCTCGCGCTCGACCTTCTACCTCCTCGTGATCCGCCTGCCGCCACCCTCGCCTCACCCCCCCGCCGCCTTCCCTAGCCGCTCGCACTCCGTTCGCCCGCCCGATCGCGCCAGACCTTCTACTTCCTCGTGATCCACCGCCGCCACCCTCGCCTCACCCTCCCGCCGCCTAGCCGCTCGCTCGCCGTTCGCTCGCCCGCTCGCGCCAGACCTTCTACCTCCTCGTGATCCGCCCGCCGCCACCCTCGCCTCACCCTCCCGCCGCCAAGCCGCTCGCTCGCCGTCCGCTCGCCCGCCCGCGCCAGACCTTCTACCTCCTCGTGATCCGCCCGCCGCCACCCTCGCCTCGCCCTCCCGCCGCCTAGCCGCTCGCTCGCTCCTATCCGTGCCACCCTATCCGTGATCCTGCCGCCACCGCGCCGTCCTCGCTCCTTCCTGCCGCCGCCCCCTGCTCAGTCGTTTGACCCGCCGCCCAATGCTCCGCCGTTCGCTGCCGTGGTCTGCCGCCGTGCCGCCGCTCCTTACCGTGCCGCTCCTTCCGCGCCTCGCCGCCCTTGCCATTTATTCGCCGTCCCTCCTGCCGTGCGTTACCGCCGTGCCGCCGTACCGCCGCTCCTACAGTGCCGCGCCGCCTCCCACACGCACACACCTTACCTCCTGCTCGACCGAGTTTGCGATGAGAAGTGACCCGAGCCGGAACAACCCCACCTCGCGGACCGGTTCTTTTGGTCCAGCAGCCTCGCTGAGCCAGAACGTCGGCTCGCGAGGTGGGGTGCTAGTATGAGCCCGATACGTCGCAGTGTTCTTGCTCCCAGCGCTTGCGCTTCGGCGGTTAGTGGTGCACTAACCTCCGAGAAACCCTTCGGGTCGCTCCTCATCGCAAACCCTGTCAGCAGAGTCCTCCTACGGCTCTTGAGCACTTGAGCACTTGATAGGGCCGATTCCGCATGGTACGGGACCCCTCGATCGTCTCGCCCTCCCTCACTGGTGTGTTCATTGGGGGGGGTCATAACAAACACGGTGCAGGATCGAGGTGCACGCTGCCGAAGCAGTGTCGTCCCCCCTCTCCCCGACGGCGATGGCGGTGTGACCGATCGAGCTACAAGAGGAGCTTGTTCAGCAGGATCCGGGTTAAACTGGCGCACTACCTCACTGGGCCTGAGACCGCCGTACGCTTCCCGTCACCGTCTCGGATTTGTGTGGAGTCGAACCACTCCGGGATGGGCAAGCCCATCGATTGTCATTGATCCATCTGGTTAATTGTCAAAATTCCTGTTGTGCAAGAGGGGAGGGGGCTCTGACGGAGTGTGTGGTGGGAGAGGGCAGGGAATGAGCGCAGGGGAGGGGGGGGGGGGGGGGCCTCAGCCGTGCAAAAAGCATCAATTAATAATAGTAGTGAAGAAATATTGCTCGGCCGTCCATGAAGTCCGTCTCGATCTATAGGAGACGGGTCAACCCCGTGAGGTCCAGATCAGGTTCACATTGTCGTAGCCGGAGGGGATGTTGACCTTTAGCTCTTGGGGCCACCTTTCCGCTTTGGTTTTTTTCCCACTGACCACTCGGGCAACTTTTACCAAATGCAAAAGTTGCACCTTACCATTCGAGCAAATTCGATTGCATTTTACCACTCGGGCAAACTCGATGAAACGGGCGGACGGAAAACGCGTTTGCCGCAGCTCGCCCGAGAGCTATGCATGAAGCGGCCGGCGCGCCACCGCAGCTCACCGATGGAGCTTGCGGAGCGGAGCACACCCTCTACGGGAATGTACGTAAGAGCTACATACACTGCGATCGCCGTGCAAAGCTCGCTTCCGAGCTCTCACGCCGCGCGTAGGGCCCCTAGGGGCCTAGAGAACACAACCCCCTCTCCCTTTTGTCCCAGTAAGCTAAAAGTACGTACATAAGCGGCGAAGAAGAGGACGGACACCGGTGATGACAAAACAGAAACTGTGGAGCTGGTCAGACCCGGAGCAGGTCAGACCCGGAGTCTGGGGAGCCGGAGCAGACGGCATCGGCCGCCGAGGGAACGTTGGGAAGAGGCACGAGGAGCCGCCGCGACCGACTATGGAGGACACGAGAGAGCGAGCTCGCTTCGCTTCCAGCCGGGGCCCGGACAAGATCTCGCCTCTGAGAGAGAGTGCCTCGCTGCCGTCGCGTGAGAGGTGGCAGCGGGCGACGCCTGGGCATCCCCTGAGAACGACAAGTGCCTGCTCACAGGCAGCGGGGAAGGCGGAAGCACTCCACACGACACCGTCGACACGACAGATCAGTGTGTGGCGGCCTCACAGGCGCCCCAATAGTGGTGCCGGTGTTTCGCGCGACTGAGGGAAGCGCGGGCGGCGGGAAGAAGGAGAACGGCGGCGGCGGCGAGGCGTAAAACGGGGGCGGTGGTGAAGTGGGGGCGACGGCGGCGGCGGAGTGAACGGCGGCGCGCGCACGGATGGCGACGAAATCGACGGCGGGAAGGGGCGGGGCTGCATGGCGGCGAAGGGCGCGCGCTCATCTGTCGTGCTTTCGCATTGGCACTCCACATCCTCCTCGACCTGCGCGCGCGGGAACGGCCCGGCAGGGGTCATGTCGCGCGCACCGGGCGGCGCCGTGCTCGCAGCAGCCGGGATCGCGGCAGAGTATGGTGGAGAGCTCTACCCGCGCACCTGCCCAGCGAGGAGCTCGACGCCGCTCCTGGCAGGCGAGGCAGGGATCTCGCACGATGTCGTGGGCGACGCCCGTCCGCAGCTGACACGTCGTGGTGACGATGATGGCGAGGAGCATCACGGTGAAGAGGAGCGTCCCGGCGCTGCTTGGGCTCGCTCGAGTTTCCGGTCTGGGCGCGGCACGGCTCTGCAAGGGGCCCCTCCAATCTCCTGCCCCACCGCTGTAGCAGGTAGACTGCAAGAATACTGTCCCGTTTTGCTGTTCACAGCTAGGGAGGGCCTCTGCGGCAAAGTCAAATCACCCCCACCTACCACCTCCCACAGGCAAACCTTCGGCTCCCGCTCAGAGGCTCGCCGCGCCCGTGCGGCGCGCCGAGGCGGCGCCGAGGCCGGCGCCTTGCACCCGGCCCGCGGCCGGCACCGCCTCGCCCCACAACTGACCGCCCTGCGGCCCCTGCGCAGGCGTACCACAGGCGTCGCTCAAAAAGCGACGCCGGGTGTGGGCTGCTCCCTTGACCCGTCACCCGCCGCGCCCTCGCCCGGCCGCCTCACCGCTCACGGAGCGCTCGGCGGCTCGCCGCCGCCGCCGCGCGTCCCGCGCCGCCACGCATGCCCCTTGCCCTGACGCGCGCGCTCTGCAGCGGCAGAGCGCGCGTCTGTCGCAGACGGAGCAGCGACCGCGCCAGCGGTCGCTGCTCCGCCCCCCCGTCGCGCGCGCCGCGCGCGCGCCGACGCCGCCGCCGCCGCCGCCGCCGCCGCCGCCGCCGCCGCCGCCGCCGCCGCCGCCGCCGCCGCCGCCTTCCTGGGGGCTTTCGCAACGTAGGACGAGGGTCGGCTGATACGGTGCAGAAACCCACCTCCCGGCGGGGCATTTTTTTAGAACCGAGGGGTTAGTCCCGCACGGGTCA